AAGATCATGATGGAAGCACACCTCTACGCTCTACATGATTGCATGTGGATGGTGCTTGAGGATGGACCCTTGAAAATCCAAATGGAGAATCCTGAGAGGAATCCAGCAACTCCAGACGTAGTCCAGTACATTCCAAAGCCCAAGGAAAAATGGGATGATAGAGATTGCAAAAAGCACAATCTGGACAACGTCGCCAAAGCAGCCATCTTCAAGACACTTGATCCCATCACCTTCTCCAAAATCAAGCATCTCAAGACTGCCATGGAGATATGGCAAGGTCTTGGGAAGCTATGTGAGGGATCAAAGGACTTAAGAAAGCAGAAGATAGAAGTCCTGCTTGAGAAGTTCAAAGGCTTCAAAATGCTTCCTGGAGAATCATTCGATATGTTGGATGAAAGATTCCACAAAATCTTAAATGATCTTGCCTCACTTAACCACATTCTTTCTCCCAAAGAAAAGAATGTAAGGTTGCTGAGATCTCTTCCAACTGAGTTGTACACCAAAGCCACAGCCATGGAAGAAGGAAGAAACCTGGAAAACTACACTGTCCAGGGTCTTCTTGATGAGCTCAGAACCTATGAGCACGAGCTGAAGAAGAAGAAGTATGAACAAGTCACTCCCTTCCCCACAGCACTAATGACAACTCCAAGAGTCCCATCAAGTGAAGGGACTTGTCCAAGAAGCTGTGACACACCTTCCTCCAGCCAGCCGTCAAGCTCAAAAATGGAGAACTACGATGAGGAATTTGCCATGATGGTCAAGCAATTCCAGAAGTTCAAGAAGTTCTTCAAGAAGGTTGACTCAGTCAGAAGGCCAACCAAGGGAAAGCCACAAGTAAGTGACTCCCCTCCTGAATCTTATTTGTGTTATAACTGCCCGTACCCAAAGGTGGAAAAGTACGGAGAAAGAGAAAGGAACGAGAAGAAAAAGAAGGCAATGGTTGCTGCTGAAAGTGATGAGTCATCCAGCTCAAGCTCGGATGAAGAAGCCCTCGTCTGCATGGAGCGCAGAGTTGAAAAGTCCAACCATGAGGATAGGTGGACTATGTCAGAAGATGACACTCTCTGCCTAATGGCTAAAGATGATGCTGATCAAGAGGTAACTTCACAAACCTCCTGCTCATCTTCTTATGAAAGCATACCAACTTCTAAAAATCTTTTTGACCAGTTCAAAAAGATGATGGTAGATTTTGAGGAAATAAATCTCAAACATTCCTCCTTAACAGAGGAGAACAAACTATTGAGTGAAGAGAATCTCAAGTTGACTGAAGGTCGGAAAAGTCAACTGAATGAAATCACTCAACTCAAAACTGAAAATGAATCTCTCTCTGAAAAGGTAAAATCCCTTAACAAAGAACTAGAGGTACTTAAGTCCAAAGAAGCAGTGGATAAGCTTCTTGAAACGATCAATCATAAGGGTCGCAAAGGACTTGGGTTTGACCCCTCCAGTTCCAAAAGAAAAGGGAGAACAACTTTCATCCCTCCTAAACCTACTGCCAAACCAAATAAGCAGAAAGGAAAGGAAAAGGAGAAACCAACAGAAGTTCCCAAAAAGGTAGTCCCTCCTAAGAACTATAGGAAGCTGGACAGACCTCAAAGAGGAAATAATTTTAGAAGAAAACTTTCTAACCCCCATTATACACGAGGCTATACTCATTATGGGGTAGATAGGATTTTTCCAAGAAATTCTGAGTGGAGAACTATGCCAAGATATAGTCATCCTCCACCCCAGAAATTATGTGTGCCACCTAAGTATGCTTATAACCGACACAGGCCACACTATGCACAACCTAGACAAAACTATAGGTCTTACCAACCTGAGTGTGCTAGGAGGAAACAGGAAATTACACCTCCTGCACGTAGGAAGTTTTATGCCTACAACTATGATTACAATCCCAACAAGTTTAGAGCTGCAAGGAAAATTCCCTGCAACTTCAAACTTGATGTAGGGACACACACCATTAACTACTCCGGACCCAAACTTAATTGGGTACCAAAATCTTCCTCCTCCTAATGCAGGAAGCCGCTAAGTACCCAGGTGTCTGGTACTTAGACAGTGGCTG